CCCCCCCCCCCACACCACCCCTCCACACTCCTGCGGCCGAAAAGCGATATGCAAGATGAGGATCAGGATCAGTCGGATCAGCGAAACATCACTGAGCAAGGTGCCAATCCCATTCCAATATTGAGTCTTTCAAACTCCGTTTTGCGAATGGGCCAAGTTCAGATTGGCAGCCACTTCGTGATGTTGCACTTACACCGTTACACACCTGAGTTTCTCCTCTAACCCGACCCGGACTTTGACCCCGACCTTTGCTACCCAGCTTAACCTCGGGATTGGGTCTAGTGTTAACACTTCAGCGCCGTCTTCAATATATAGAGATATATACATACACATGCACGTGGACATGTACAAATGCCACACAGAGACAGACAGACATGCGGAGGCCAGGCGTGCCGAAAGCAATTGCTTGCCTATTTGCATGTTTGTGTGTCTGTCTGTATGTCTGTCTGTCTGTCTGCAGGAATGCGCAAGTGGCTGTCCTCGACACCTACACAGGTGAGGCGAAGGCAGCACTACTTTTGGCCAACTCGACAGGCCGGAGCTTGCAATTCAAGGAAAGCCTTTGACCGAAGCACGGCGCGTGCAGTTGGGCCAGGGCTGGTCGGACGGCATGCCTGGTCGTTTGTCCCTGAAGGACAGTGGGAAGGCACGGTCCTCCCTTTCGGTACGGCTTTCGGCATTCCGGATGGCACATACCAGGCTCGGGAACTACTTGCTTGCACACGAGACAGGTCGTGCCAGATTAGTGCTGACACATCCTTGGCACCCTCGAGGTCATCCTCAGCGACGGAAGTGCAGACTCGAAGATCCGTGCTCCTTTCACTGCGGTGAAAGGCGAAAGCGCCTAGCTTGCACAGACACGTGCCGGTGCTTGTGCGTGCGCACGTGCTTGCAGCAAGGGGCAAGGGGACGCTTTGAGATCAGGAGTTGACTCCTGATTTATTGCCTGGCCTGTTCATGGCACCTTCAACCTTCACAATTTTGTTGTCGCTCAGGCTACATTGTGCTCCGTACTGGGGTGACAGAAAAGATGGCCAACAGCTCCGGCATCTAGGTTTTGCAACAACAGATTTGCCTCGTCCAACCATGTTTGCCGTGCATCTGCGCTGTCTCCTGTCCTGTCCCAGGCATTGATTACCCGCAGGATCTCATTGTATTTCCTGTGACCAGCGCTGGTTGGGGACATCGAAGCAGTGCAGGGCGTATGCTGACCGGCTTGCTGATGCCGATGCTGGCTTTGATTGCCTGCTTGTAGACTGTAGGCAGTAGATGAATGAAGTCGGTCCCAGCTTGACGACCATGGCCTGGTGACGAACGAAAAGGTCCACTCGCAGTTGCTCTCCACTATCATTACCATTAGCTGTACTTTCCGACTTTCCGACTTGTGCCATCCGTGGCATGTGATGCAAAACAGACCGCAAGGATCGCGACGGTCAGTCACAGCCTATTCTCCTCACGCAAGCACCCACTTGTCATGCTGCCCCTGCGACACCCTGCGACCCACTTGGCAGCTAAGGCCTCGAAGACTCTTTCTCCACAGGCCAGGTTTTGTGGTGGGGGGAGCATCAGGAGCGGCTAGGACCAATACTGATACCCTCTGCTGACCAACCGTGTCCAAACATCAATTTTTTCCACAGAATCACACGAGATCAACATATCATTTTCACATTCACAGACCCTGTCTCAACAAATGTTCAAACTCTCATAGCTGCCACAACTGCAACAAGACAACGTGAGTGGCTAGTTGCAGTGAGTCGCTGCAGATACATTGGAACCCCACGTGGCTTTACAGTTCAGGTGTTGTGGCAGGAGCTGCGGTCGCTTCTGCAACACGCGTCAGCAGCTCTTGGTAGTGCTCTTGGTGCTTGGTGAAGGATTCCAATTGGGGCCGTTCCCAACGGTCCCTTCGCATCCCGAAACTTGCGGGCCATGTGAGTCTTCAGATTCTGCTCGTCTCCAGGTGAAGTTGAGTGGCTTCGAGGCCAGTCATCGCACTTCCACTGTGCAGGCGCCTGCCCAGTTACCTGTCTCAGGGTCATGTGAGTTGGCACCTGCTCCAGGCAGCCTTGGCAACGGATCTGCCGCGTGAGGCCTGAGCAAGTATTTAGATCGCTTCAAAGGCAAGGGTTTAGGTTTCTGCTATGTAAGTTCTGTAAGGGGGGGAACCCTTCGATCAACAGGCGATGGAGTCGCTGCTGCAGGAACTGACAGCAGAAGCAGCGAAGTCCGCCCCCTGGGCAGTCGCATTGTTGTTTGGCAGAATGAAATGACAGCCAGCAATGTCTTCCGCCCTTGAAGGTAAGAACCCCTGGAGCCATCAGCAGGGACAGGAGTGACAGTTGAGTTGAGAATGCATCGTCTGGTGAACGTGCCCTCGTGGCCTTACGTGGCGTGGAATCACGCTGAATCTAGTGTTCGATCATGTTGGAGCCACCATTGATGAGGCACATCTGATGCGTGACAGGACATCTTCCGCCGACCTGAGACGAAGCGGCTTGTGTATCTGAGAGTAGGCGCGAACATGTCGTGTCTTTTCAGCGCAGGAAAAGGATCACGACACCAATGTACTGGAGGCTCAAACACCCTTGTAGGCTCAACAGCCCTGCTGCTATAGGCGATTGAGCTGCCAAAACCAGACTCGCAGGGAACATGATGGAGCTGTCGTTCTGCCTGGCAATGACCTGCATGAGCCATCGCCAGCCACGGTAATGATCGCAGCCGCTAGCTCAGCATCATCAACACACATCAGCCCTTGTTGTTGGAGGGCAGTTCGCTGAAGATTCTCTGCAGGTGCTCGCTGAAGCAACCTGCTTGTATCTCGTCTCCTCCAGCACGTTTGTAGCGAACCGTCGTTGAACGATGATGCCGGTGATGCTTCTGGTTGATGAAGGTTGATGATGGTGACTGCCGATATCGCTGTATGCTGTAACTGGTAGCGGTTGCGTTGATGAGAATGGCTGGCAATATCTTACTTGGAGCGTGTGGGAGCTGCCATTGCTGTCACCTTTAGCACATGCCTTGAGCTCTGTATTGTTCCGTCATGTTGCACGTCGATTGAAGCACTCGGTAAAGCTGCTTGTCATGTTTGTTCGATCAGAAGATTGCGCGCATGTCTGGTTGAGAAGCTTGATGATGCTTTTTCCAAAACCGCAGCGTGCTAGCTCAGTTTATTTAGGGCAGCGAGCTTCGCGACTCTTGGATCCGTCTTGCTCCTTCCGTGCTCGGGGCTTAATCCTCGGAGTGTTTGGAGTCGATCTTTCAAGCAGAACGCAGGCCTTGCGAGAGGATGTCGTGCTCTGACCTTGTACGAACCTCACAGAATCATGGACTCAAGGCGATGTCGCTTGGCGCCACATCGTGCCCTCAAGACGAGCGGGCTGCATCTGGTACAGCATGCCAATCCGTACAAGCGACGCTTGGTGTCAAGTGACAGCCTGTTGTTTTAAGAACTTGAAGTGGGCTGGCTAAGTCTCCCCGGAATAGGAGATACATCCGCTTACTGCTGATGCATATCAGTATGCAGTGTCATCACCTTGGGCAGAAGGTGCCATCCTGGTCGGGACCGTCGCTGGGCTGCAACAGGCAGCCGAAGTTTAGCGAATCAGTGCTTCCGAACTACACTGGCTCATGCATCTGCACATGTCACAACTCTGCATTGTCTTTAGCTTATGGTCGGTCGTGAGGGGAAGATCTTCTAGATTCTGGAGTTCTAGAGTCTAGAGTCCATTCACAGGACTTGCTTTTGTTCACACTCTGCCGCATCCACTTTGCCAACTGCCAGCATTTCAAGGTTCCTTCCACCATGCTGATGGTGCAGATGCCGATGATCAGACACGCTTCGCATCGAGCGCGCCCGTGGAAGCCCAGGCTTGGTCATGCGCAAGTTTGTGCTTGCGCTGACGCTTGAGTTTTTTTGGTTCACTCTGCATCCATGCCGCCCATACCTGTACATACCTGCACTGCTGCTCGATCACTTGGCTCTCCGGTTCACGTCTTTCGCTGGAAGTCCCTCAGTCCTTTTGTCCTCAGGTCGCCGGCATGCCATAGGTTGAAGAAGCTTGAACCATGTCATATCAATGAGATGAGTGATAGAGCCTGCCTGGCATCGACAAATTTCAGCTAGCTGCACATGGTGGTGTCTTTTTTGCTGTTGGGGCGACGGGGTGTTCGGCTCTTGCTGTTTTGGCGGGGTGTCTGGTCGGGAACGATTGCTCAGCATCCTGGTCCGAATCACGGCAACCTGCGACGCAGCCATGCTCGTGCTGAGATTAGTGGAACAGGAACGTATGGGAGGAGTCCATAGCAGACCACTGCAATTGAACTGCATATTGTGTCGGATGATGTGCTGACGGACCTGATTGCCAGCAGTTTTCTAGTATGAACGTATGCGCGAGGCTAGTGACAGAGATCACGCCAGCCATTGTGCGGCTAAAAGCAGAAATGCTTTCAAATCTGCACGCCACGATGGGCCATGCGTTTCATGGATGTTGAGCTTGTTCCTGTCTGTTCTTGTTCAAGGCTCCTCTTCGCACCCCGAGCCAAATCGATAGAAGGGCAGTTGCTGGGCTGAAATTTTTGACCCATGAGCAGGCATGGCCACTTTTTTGCTGATGACACGGCCTCTCCAATGAAAGCACCTTCCCGTTTATTGAAAGCAACACCTGTGTTGCCGAGGAGATGTACAGAAAAACGGCTTTGTCAGTCGCATGGCAGCATATGGCTGTCTCTCAGGTGTTTGTCCCTTTTTAGGACTTATAGAACATGACACGGGCGTAGGTACTCCTTGCCCTGTCCGGGGGAAGGCTGGACGGGTGACGTCCAGGATATCCAGCGACAGAAGACGATAGCGTAGAGATTTACCACGGGTTACAGCAGCCAAGTCTTTCTATGCTCGCCGCGTCGCCGGATTAGCTCCAAGTGTGTGGGTGGCAGCTTTGCAGCAATTGAGCGTATACTCAATCATTTCAAGGCTGACTTCCTGCCCATGTCAAAATGCAAGATGCAGCAGCTCATGACTCATTCTTCTTATTGCCTGAGGACTCCGATGAAGAAAGTGAGGACTCTTGTCGTGTCCACTTTTTGTCGTTGCATGGCTCAGCAACTGTGACAAGTTCAAGCCCTGATTCGCGTTTTGTTCCACGCATGTTGTCCCTTTCTGGTCGCCATTCTCGGATCGTGTCTCGAACGTATGCTACAAGTAGATCACCCATATTAGCCATGCTCTTTGGGTTGCCCGGGCAAGGACGCTGCGCCGCTGACGCACGTCGTGCGAACAGAACGTCAACTGACTGCACGTGGTTTTTGAAGATTGCCGAGGTCTTGCCAGACGCGGACGTGCAGTTTGCAGATGTTTGCAGCACACTGAAATCGAGGTGCAAATAGAACGAACTCTCGCAGCAAGGTCCTCCGGTTGGAAGTGCTGACACCCAGCCGAAGCACGAGAAGACAGGCGATGCAGATGAGCGCAAGCCACGTTGAACAGAGAAGCTCGGCAGCAATGGTGAGAATTCGAATAGTGAGATGACACTTTAGATATTTGCTGCCTCAGCTCAACCCAGCTAGAGTTGCATGAAGCTCAGCCTGCAAGGTCCAACCTCGTCTAGCCCGGTTGGAGATGCTGAAATGCCTGAAGAGGCCATTGCCATAGTTTGCAAGAGGCGGGTCGTCAGCATCCTCCGCCCGCTTTCAATGATTCAATGTCGGAGGATGTGGCAGGCCCTGCGCACCAGGTGAGGAGCAAAAGTACCCTTGTTCTGCAATCAGATGGGTCTTCGCCCCCTGGAAGTTTTTTTTTGCATTTTTTGCCTTCCTTCTGGAAGCTTTTTGAGGGTGCTAAGCCAGCAGTCTTGTACAGCACCGACGATGCTGGTCTGATACTGCCGAAAGGTTCCCTTTCCTACGATAGCAGTCCACGTAGAACCCGTGCGATGGAAGCAGCTCAGCTGTGCAACACAAGCAGCATCAGACAGGATTGCGCAGCCTCCTAGATTTTGGCAGCGCCCTCCTTGCGAGGATTGCCATGGAGTATTGGCATATTCTAAACCATGCCTGCCATCTGGCAGCCTACTTCTGCGAGTTCCATTTGCATCAGTCTTGAACAGTCGGTTTGAACACTTGGACATCTTGACAATCCCGTAGTAGAGCCGTTTGAATGAAAGAGAGCATGGCATCGTGGCGGTGCGGTGGAGTCCAACAGTCTTCCTTCATTTTGGAGTTCTTTTGAGTTTTAGGTGAACTGCTACCAGCGCCGGCGAGGCATTTGTGATCTCAGTTGCTGGTCGCCATCAGCCACTGCTTTTCATCCTCATCAGAACACATGAACTTATGTGTGATGGCACCTCGTCGTGGACTCTGCTGGCACTACACCCGCGCCCAACCATCTCTCATGCATGTGTGTTATCAGTTATCACACAAGCTCTAGACTCTGAGAATTCGAGTGCGCAAAGCTCCAGCTTCTCCAGCAGCCTCCAAGCAAAGGTGCACAGCACAGGCAGATGATAGGCACTGCTTCGTTTTCAAGCACAGTAGGCATGAACAGGGACAAAACTACCTCGAGCAAAGGCTGCTGCGACTGAGGTGTGCTTAGCGCTTGGACTACGACCGAAGTCAAAGTATACAGGGTTAAACTTGAAGCAGAAGGAACGGTCAAGTTGCAGACTGAGCTAACCTACCGACCTGCATGCAGTCACAGCCGATCACTGCCGAGAGGCTGGTTCTGATGAAAATAGGTATGATGTTCATGCCGAAGGGGAAGCTACTGAGATGATGCTCATGAGGATGCTGATGGCGAGTATCACCACTTCTTGCTACCTCGCATCCGTGCTATTGAACTTTTACGCGCCAGCTGATTCTTCGTGCTTGCTGTGTCGTCGTCGCCATGTGTGCTGACTGGGAGCAGGAGCAGCACTGCAAACACCTCAACCACCAGCACCGAAAGCAGCAGCAACCCCACCACCATGATGCTGATTCTTTATCAGATGATAAGGATGATGATCATCCTTGTCCCCGTCGTCGCAGCGACAGAGGTACTGTAGTAGACGGGTAGCATTATCTGCCAGGGGCACAAGGAGACGAAGCAGTGGCAGTAGTAGCAGTAGTAGCAGTAGTAGCAGGAGTA